CCTTGTAGTTAGTATTAGATTTAAAATTTATTTATTTATGTACAAAATCTTCATGCCCAACGTGGGTCTTGAACTCACAACCCCGAGATCAAGAGTCCCATGTTCTTCATACAGAGCCAGCCCAGCGCCCCCCCATAACACAGGTGATGTGAATGTGCCCCCAATGCAAAACAACCTCTGTGTGTTTTCAGAAGGCATCTCTTCGTGTTGTAGAGAGTGTCTGCAGACCGTCAGCTGTCCCACCACCCCCAAAGGTCTGAGACGCACCGCAGTAGCAGTTCTGAGTGTGTGAGGGGCCCAAGTCGGGGGTGTGCTCCGTTGAGGGTATGGTGGTGAGCAAGGAATGCACGATTCTTGCCATCTTAGAATTTCAGTGTTAAGAGAGACAATGTTCACGGATGGAAGGGTCCCAGAAGTGGGCGTCCATGTTCATCTGTGATGGGTTCATCAATTCCAAGCCAGACCCTGCTCCCCTTCAGGGCAAGTGCGCTTAATCACTCTATGGAATAGGATGGGGCAGAGTGACACTATGTCCCCTCCAAATCTGCGTCCTAAAAGTGGTATGTCTCCACCTGGAACGCGGTCTCTTCTCTCAGCTCACTGGCTCTGAAAGAAGCTAGCCACCGCGTGTCCTGAGGATACTCAAGCAGAATGTGGCAGGGCCCCGGGTCGGGAGGAACGGAACCCCCGGCTGACATCGGCACTGGGTTGTCAGACAGGAGAAATGGTGGTGGAACCCTCAGCCTCTGCCCATGTCCCGAGAGGCCTCCGGAGAAATCAGACCTGCTCACACCTTGACCTTGGATGTCCAGGCTGCAGAACTATGAGACCTGCTCAGTGGTATTCTGTTATGGCTGCCCCTAGCCGACTAGCACGACAGGGAAATATGTACGGTGCCCAGAGAAAGACCTAGAAGGAGACACATGAACTGAAAACAGGCTCTGAGAAGGTGGTAGCATTGGAGATGCCGATCGAAGTAATCACCGCAGAGTCGTGCTGTAGGTTTGTAACTGTTTCCTGAAAAGTTCTTTCAACTTTTCTATATGTTTGCACATTTTATAGTAAATTGTTGGGGGCGGGGAAGGACTGAGGAGCCAGCTTCAAGAGTCCCCCCCTCCCCGGGACCATGTGAGCTTCTGAAGAATAAAAAATCGTGTATAATCTCAGGTGAATATTGCTGAGCATCGTGTCATGACTCTGAAAATAAACCAAAGACTCAAGCAAAAAGTAATTAGTCTTGCCTTTCATATTTTACCTTATACTTCAAGGTAAAATAGTTGGTTCTATCAAGAAGAATTTTAGCTAATAAATGCAGAGGATCAGGAAAATTAAAGAAATGAACTTTCGTGACCCTTATAAAATAACAATGGGAGGGACGAGGGTCGGAATCTCACATACCTTTGAAGGCTGTGATTCTCCCTCTACACACTACTTTAGTTATACCCCACACAATTACTTGGTGCTTTCTGTTGAGAATGGTGTTTCTAATTTCCATGATGATTTCTTCTCGGACCCACGGTTTACTTGGAAATGTGTCATTGATTTCCAAAAATGTGAGGATTTTCCAGGTATGTTTCCAAAATTACTTTCTTGTGTAATGATGTGGTGGCCAGAGAACATACTTTGTAGGATTTCAGTCCTTTTTAAAATTTGAGATTTGCTTTATGGCTGTAGCGTGGCCCACCTTGGTGAAGGTTCCTCGTACACTTGGAAAAGGTACCACTGCTGCTGGATGGAGTGTTATGTGTCAGATCAAGTGGGTGATGCGCTGTTTGAATATTCGAAAACCTCTCTGATTTTCTTTGTGCTGGTTCTACCATTGCTCAGAGAGAGATGTCGAAATCTCCACTTCTGGTGAAGGATTTGTCTATTTCCCCTTTGTATTGTCCCCCTCTTCATGGGCCGTCGAGTTCTGGAGCAGACACACGGTGAGGGTTGATTTGCCTTTTTGAAGAACTGACCCCCTTTACCATTTTAAATATTCCTCTTTCTTCCCGCTAACATGTCCTGTTCTAGGGTCTGTTGTGTGTGATGTGAATCGAGCTAACTTCCAGCCTGCTTTTGATCAGTGTTTGCATAGTGTCTTGGATTCAGTTGTGTCTCCTAAAAAGACATGCTCCAGTCCCAGCCCCCAGGACCTGTGGATGTGACCTTATAGGAAATAGAGTCTTCACAGACGTCGTCAAGTTGAGTGGGGTCACACTGGATTCGAGCAGGCCCTAATCCAATGACCGGTGTCCTCATGAGATGGAAAAAAACTTGGACAGAACACAAAAGAGAAGAGCATGTGAGGATCGAGACAGAGGAAGTGGTGGGTGCAGAGGCCAAGAACAGTTAGGGGTTGTGGGCAGCCACCAGAAGCTGGAGAGACCCGGACAACGGCTTCCCCCTCGGAGCATCCAGGAGAAACAGGCCCGCTGACACTATGGTTCCAGATGTCCCACCTCCAGAACTGAGAGAATAAATTTCTGTTTAACTACCCGGTCTGTGTTCTTTGTCTGTTGTGTTCATTGATATTTAAAGAGGGTTTTACAGAAAGCATATAGTAGGACCTTACTCTTTTTTTTTTAAGATTTTATTTTTTTTAAGATTTTATTTGACAGAGACACCCGGCGGGAGAGGAAACACAAGCAGGGGGAGTGGGAGAGGGAGAAGCAGGCTTCCCGCGGAGCAGGGAGCCCGATGCGGAGCTCGATCCCAGGACCCCAGGATCATGACCTGAGCCGAAGGCAGACGCTTAACGACTGAGCCACCCAGGCGCCCCTGAAAAATAGAGAACTTTTCACACTAATTTGCAGGATGGAGCACGCACTGCTGCCTCACCAAGGGCTTCCTGTGTCAGGCACCTTGCGGAGCACCAGCACACGATGAGTAAGAGGGCCCAGGTGCCGTCCAGAAGCAGAAAAAGGTCTACACACACAAACGACAAGTGCACACGTGGAAGCACCTCTGCCAGCCCGCGGGGGCTCCTCCCCACACCCGCCACCCGCCCGCAGAGCTCGGGAGTCCCCACGCACACCCGGGTCTAACACTGCGAGGAGCAGCTCAAGTGTTCTGTACCAAGCAGATGCCAAGCGCTTGTGAATTCGTGAGTCCTCCAAGAATACACGCCAGAGAAACAACTTTATCAAAACTAAGAAACGTCCATCACGCAGAACTTGCGGTTTACAGAAACACAAGGATGGAAGGAACCAAGTAGGTGATGCCCTGAGGAAGGATCCGACACCCCCGGCCCCGTGTTCCTCCTAAGCCCCCACCAAAGCACCACCCAGCAAGGGCAGCCGCACAGGGTGACAGGTGGGCCACACACACGAGCGCTAGGGCTGGACCCGGCTGTGGACAACCAGCCACCAACAATGGAGACTGTGGGACAGAGGGAACCTGAGCGAGCGTGGACACTAGAAGATGCTGAGGGAACTGGTCAGGGCTGCTGAGCAGGGGGAAGAATCGTGACCACAGACCATGAACACCTTCCCTTGGACCGATGCCTATTTCCTAGAGGAACCTAGTACTTGTCCAAAATGCCCAAAACAGTGGTTTGTTTTTTTTAAGATTGTATTTATTTGAGAGCGAGCAAGAGAGAGCAGAGCAGGAGGGAGGGGCAGAGAGAGAAAAACAGGCTCCCCGCTGAGCAGGGAGCCAGATGCGGGGCTCAATCCCAGGACTCCGAGATCACGACCTGAGCTGAAAGCAGATGTTTAACGGACTGAGCCACTCAGGCGTCCCTGCCCCAAACTGTTTTTAAACAAATACGGCAAAATGAGAAACCTTTAAGCTAGATATTTAGCGCAGAGATGTTACTAAAGTCCTCTCTCTAGTTTTCCCAGTGTTAGAAAACCTTTATACCAAAAAACTCAAAAGCAGAGCAAGTGCAGGAGAGCCGCATCTCAGGAGCCCGGGAACACAAGGGGCGGTCACGACCCACGATGAAGTCAGACCACATGGCAGGCGGCCAAACTCTTCTGGACAGAGAAGGGGACACAATAAGGAAAGCTCGGGGTCAGCCCTGAGCAGGGGGCACAAAAAGTGGTGCGGGAGGGCGTGCCAGGCACTGAAGCGTGAGCGGACAGGAAGACCCTGCCTGGCCCCGGGAGCAGTGCTTCCAGTTCCTGGTGCTGGACCTGCTGCTCCCCAAACCTCCGCTGCCTCCTGGTGAGGAAATGCCATTCACGATGAAATGAGAGGACAGGACACAAGCGTGGACTAGCCCCGGAACTGAGGAGACCGAGTGAAACGTGGGAACAGGATGGTGCTTAAGGAAAAGTAGCAGATGGGCGCTAGATCTCCTGCAGTCGGGGCGGCACCACGGACAGGTGAAGAGCTTTCCCTGCCCCTAGAAATGCACACAGGGGGACAGAGACACGAAGCTTCCACTCACTCCCAATGGCTCAGGACAAAGTCACATGTGTCTGTGCAGACAAATGATAAAGCAAACCCCACAAAGTGCTAAGCGGGACACACTGGTAAAGAGTGCACACGAGGGGCGCCTGGGTGGCTCAGTCGTTGGGCGTCTGCCTTCGGCTCAGGTCGTGATCCCGGGGTCCTGGGATTGAGCCCTGCATTGGGCTCTCTGCCCGGCAGGAGGCCTGCCTCTCCCTCTCCCTCTGCCTCTCTTTCTGCTGGTGCTCTATCATGCTCTCTCAAATAAATAGAGGAAATCTTAAAAAAAAAAAAAAAGTACACACGAGCTCCTTCTACACCTCCTGCGAAACTTCCGTTAGGTTTGAAATTACTGCAAAATTGTACAATCACGCGCAGAGGCCAGCACGAAGTAAGAACAGACTCCACCTGCCTTTCCTCACTGCTTACCTTTCACAAGGTGAGAAGTCAATGAGCTGAACCCCCTGATGGCTAAATCTCTGGATTTGTTTGAATTTCTCTCCGCCCCAGAGAGCAATGCCTCGCTGATGGAACGTGGCCAGGTAGGTGCCCTTGGGAGACCAGCGCACATACGTCTCCGTCCACCTCTGTGGAAAAAGACCAGTGTTAACATGACTACAGGACACCAGCACAAAGCCCCTCCTTCTGGAAAGAATCGACTCCTCTGACTCAACTGGAAAACACAAGAAGCCTCCTCACGTCTCGTGGCTTGTTTCAAAACCGAAAGAGCGAAGGATATTGTTCTCAGGGATGCAGTCTGGAAGAACATGACACTTCACCTGCTCGGGTACCCAGTTCCCCTGCCACGGAAATACAGAGTAAGTCCCCACGTGGCAGCAAATACCCACCGCTCTCTCTTCGATAGAGACAGGATCCTTCACGTCGTTCCAGAATATGGAAGTACGGTCTCCACTCTCAAAAATGACACTGTACTGATCTCTGCATTCTGCCTCTTCGAGCCAGTAACGTAAATTTCCCTGGGAAAAGAACCAAAGGCAAGGGATAGAGTATGTCTCATCAACTTTCATCCAGGAAGCCGTATTCCTGCCTCGTGCACCTGGAGGTCTGACCGACTCAGGCCGGCAGCGGCAACTCCTGAGGAGCTCACCCCCGCAAGCCACAGGGCTGCCCAGCCTTCCCAGTCCTCATACAGGTTCCACCCACTTACCAAGTCTTTGAAAGGTTGTTTTTCTGGGATATCCCACTCGTCACTGATGGTCATATACCTGGAAGAAAAGAAGGAACCGATTAGCAACACGCAGCACTAGAAGGGGGGCAGCGACACTGGGGGCTCTCGGCCACAGGCAGCGTGGCGCCACCCCGTCCCCCTTGGGGGTGGGGTGGGGACAGGGGAGGGAAGAGTGGGTGAGGGGTGCTACTGGCCAGGAGTGGCAGGGGCTGGGATGGGAAACAGTCCCGCGGTGGCAGCGTGCCCAGAGAACAGAGCTCCCCGGAAGGGCCACCAACACGGCCCCCAGAAGTGGGGAGCCTCTCCCGCCTGGTGAAGGCCCAGGCTCCCACACAGCTGGAACGTACTTGTCAAAGTCTGTGAAGAGGTTGACCCTGAACGTGTGCTGCTTGTCCAGCTTGTAACCATCAGCATTCTTCACGGCGTCCAAGGCGTGGCCAGGGGATGCGTATTCTAGGAACGTATACCTGAATTGAGACAAAGTGCAAGGCAGATTGTTAAGACCAGGCAGGCTGTGCTCAACACACCAAGACCCGTCCACGTGACTTGGAAGCACCATCAAGGCCTGTGCCCTATCTACTGCCACGTCCCCCAGAGTCAAGTCACCGGCAGAGCGGTTCCTTAAACACATGTGAAATCCTAACAGGAGATCTGAAGTCCCTAATGCCACGGTCACAAATCAGACAAGAGTTAACGAATCAAAATGTTTACTACCCTGACCGTGGTAATGGTTTCACGGATACGTACATGTCGAGACTTATGAGATCATGCACTCTAAGACTATGCAAGCATGGCAATTTTCAAATAAAGCTATTAGAAAATCTGAGACCGGAGCGCCTGGGTGGCTCAGTTGGTTGAGCGACTGCCTTCGGCTCAGGTCATGATCCTGGAGTCCCGGGATCAAGTCCCACATCGGGCTCCCTGCTCAGCAGGGGGTCTGCTTCTCTCTCTGACCCTCCTCCCTCTCATGCTCTCTCTCATTCTCTCTCTCTCAAA